TCTGGTTCTACAATAGTAGTCAAAAATAAATCACTATTGCACTTTTTAAAATATTCTAGGTCAACGTCCATGGTCAGAATGGAAACGCACTGATACATCTTGCATACAACATACTGGGCATGATGTCGAACAAGTGCAAGAATTATATTCTCTCTGTGAAGAACCATTAATAAATTATTGTACCCATAGAGGCAAGTTACTTGCGAACAGTACCACCATATCCTATTTATCTCCTATGAATTTGCTTGTGATTACATTATGGTATTTAAAACATTATCATTCTGAACCTTACAGTGCTTCAGAATTGAATATTAGTCAACCAGCTGTGAATTATTTCTTATCCGCAGTAGTGGATATTTTACATTAGTGTGTATATCCAGCATTTGTCTCTTTACCTGCTGATCTAGCTAACAGAAGAACACCACATGGACCTCAACAAGATCATAAATTAATTGTTGACTCGACTTTTATTGCAATTCATGAACCGCATGATTCAGAACAACGTAAAGAATATTATCATGCAAAAAGTCCAACAAATTATGCAATAAAAGTGAAAGTAGCTGGTGATTTTCGTCATCGAATAGTACATGTTTCTGAATGTTACCATGGAAGTATACATGATATTACAGTTCTTCGGGAATCAGGGCTGTTAGAACATGTTGAAGAATCTGTACAAATTATTGGTGACAAGGCGTATATCGGTGAAGAATATGTAGTCACTCTAAGAAAGAAACTTCGTGGGCGTGAATTAACACAAGAAGATAAAGATTTCAATCGTGATATTAATAGTGCGAGAGCAGCGATTGAAAATATTAATCAACGTCTCAAGGCTTATGCTATTCTTGGTAGTGTTTACAGAGGACGTCTCGATGATTTTCATAAAGTAACTAAAATCATACAAGTAGTTGCTGCTTTATGAAATTTGAACTTAAATAAACATCCTATTCGTAGATAAACAAAATGATAAGTGGTATCTTCTTATTAATCGCTTATGAAGCTATATACTCATCTTTGGTTTTTTTCAAACTTCTTCGTAGGAATGGTATAGGTTAACATAGACAATATGAAGCACGTTTGGTGCAATAAACACAAAAATGTACATAATAATTCTCATTTATAGTGATATATAGATTTCAAATAGTGATAGATCAATAGCATTATACATGTAGTATAATTGGTAAAAAAATCAGATTTTTCTAATGCGTAGATGAATAAATCGACAGTGGGGTACCAGTCAAGTTGATAACCCCATCCAATGAAAATAACATCACAAAATTGCATGTTTTTACAAGTTATTATGGATTAGAATTTTAAACGCTTAGAAATCCGTTTGAAAGTTTGAATTCGTTCACAACGCGTCAAAATGTGCGATTCTTATGTGTTCAAACGCGTTCTGTTTTATAAATATTTTAACGCAGTTTTGATTGATTTTGTCTGCCTGATGAGTTGGCAACAAGAGAAATATTCTTACACGCATTTGAAGGAATTCTTATGGTTTCACTGCATCGTTTTGTTTTTTTCTGTTCTGTGAAGGAAAATACTGTTTCTTTCTGTTTAACCATTCTTTATTTGTTCAATGACACATGTTTGTTGGTTCTTTTAGTCATTCAAGTAAGATTTGCTTCTCGCGAAGCAACTGTGAGAGGAAAAAACCAATTGAAAGCGTTTATTCTTACTCAGTGGGTATTTTATGTTTTTTTTCCATTAAGAAACACGATATAAGAGCCATATATACTTTCATAAACGAGAACCTTTTAGAACAATTTAAATTTTGGTCAACTCTTCGCAGACAACTATTGAAAGAAAAGCAACGTCTATTTGAGAAAAGCTGAATGTATGTAAAGTCCATGACAAAAATGAATTATTTTATAATTCTTGTGTGTAAAGTTTTTGAATACTTCGGTGTAATTTTCAGAGCAGTGCTTCGCTGAGTTTGTTAAAGGTGGATGACCAGCTCCTCTTTCAATGATTTCCTTTTCTTCGTAATAAAATTTAAACTTTCTCCTTTCTTCGCAAATGTCTATCGCACTGGTTTCTTTTTGTCTGCGACTCGACGCTTGTAAAATTTCTTCTGCTTCCGCACCTTTTCTCACATACTGTCCTTTTCTCTCATATTAATTTCCCAGCATTCTTCGTCATCTTTTCTTTCTTAGTCAGCCCTTTTTTTCGTCTAAGCTATTTACTCATCCGAAAGACAGAATTCAACCAGCCGGCGATGATAATTGATTACAAAGAAATGGAGAGACATTCGTAATTGATTTTTAATTACTGAAACTTATTATATTACGTTTCAGATAAAATATTCTTAATCAGTTAATAGTTACAACCAAAATTAATTACAATTGATATCACTGTTGAAATCGATTAAAGATGTTGCATTCGCACATATTACTTTATTACTTTCCTTGTCCTGTAATCCATTATAATCGTTAACAGAACAATCATGAGTTCTTCAAGAACTAAGGCACTGGGTCAATTTTTTATTTTTTTGATTTGATCTGCCCTAGGAATCAGCCACGTGTAAAACATCTAAATCCCAATTTTAACGCGTTCGGATTTTACTTTTTAGTAATTTACCTTGACTAAAATTCGATAGAATGAAAAACTATGTCGCTTGATAGAACTAATAAGATTTTGACTTCAATTGCCTAATTGTCTGTAATTTAGATCAGTACATGGCTCTGGTTGATAAAAATCAAATCATTTATGACACGCAAGCTATTGTTAGTATCGTGGCTGGAACGGCATCGATTGTTCAAGAATACGCGTCAACTGTTTATACCGAATGTACCTGTGAAAATTGTTTTGAAACATATGCGTGTTTAATGGCAAACAAGGAAACATATTTGCAGTTATATCCATACTGTCCTAAATGTGGACAGAAGATTAGTCTGCAGAATATCACGGAAGATCATGAAGTTATTGGATGTGAAGCCAGGTTTCTTATGAAAGATAATTTTGCGCATGCTAGTTTTAAACTAACGCACAAAGCATTGGATACACCAAATATAAAACAAATAATACGGAAATGCGATGCTACGTTTACTCAGTGAAATCTATTTTGTATGCATATGTGTATGAACCTATAGGGATACAGTTCGAAACTAGCAAATTCATGTCATTTGAAAGTCATAATAAATTAAAATAAATGTTAAAAACTAGCTTTTTGGAAAAGACAAAAGGTTACCGATTTGATATTTGATCATATGTTGCTTCGTTTGAGACTAATTTCTTGGATAGAATCTTCAAGAATTGTTGCCGATCAAATGGGTGTGGGGTGTGGGTGTTGATGTGGGGTGTGGGTGTGAGTGTGGGTGTTAGTATAGATGTTGAATTCATGCACCCACACCACACCCACACCCGCCCACACCCACACACCCACATCCACACCCACACCCACCCACACTCACACCCACACCCACATCCACATCCACACCCACACCCACACCCAACCCATACTCACACCCACACCCATGCTCACACCCCACACCCACACCCACCCACACCCACACCCACACCCCACCCGCACCCACACCCAAAAACGAATAAATGGACTGACTTTCGCGGTTTTCTTTCAAGAATTTTTTTTGTAGATTAACATACATATATTGCTAGAAGTATTAAATTAAAAATCACGTCCAATGACAAAATCCTCATTATTTATATTAATTTGACTGATTGGGAACGAGTCCGAAGCATTGAATCATAAAAAATTTTATTTTTACAATGAATATTCCCTTAAGTACTGATAAATGATACATTATTTCAGTTGATCAATTAGTCAGTAAAATCTTTTTTAAAAACATCTATAGGTTTATCTAAATAAGAAAGATTTTGTTAAATAGGTTTTTTTCTTCTACAACTATAATAGAATTACATATTAATAATACTAATGGTGATTAATTCTTTATATATTTTGCAGTATTCACTCCATGACCGAAATGGTCCTAAAGGGACAACTAATCCATCACAAAAGGTTTTAAAAAAATAAAATAGAAATAGAAACAAGCAAAAAACAACGAAAGGAAAGAATTAAGAGAAAAAAGATAGAAAAATGAAATGCACAACCATCATGTGAATAAAACTGAAGATAAGTTCCGACTTAAGTAGTGACATTATTATCGTTTTGACGAATTGATATTGCTGTGCTTTGCGGTTGAGCTAACCGCAGTATCCAACGTTTTAAGTTTGTCGACGAAAAAAGAGTGGAAATCATCTGGAACAGGAAGTTTCAATTGTTTCCGTAGGATAATGAATAATTTCATGATATTCTTGAGTAGGACATTTGTTTCTCGACGATAATTAGCAAAATTAGATTCTGTGTTCTCCGCTTTGTTTTGAAGATATTGAACCGTTTGTTCTTGAGCTGCAAACTTTTCTTCTCAGGATTTTATTGTAGCTTGTATATCGCGCGTTTTCTGCTCGTTGCTTACGAGTTGTTCATTCAATACGTCTACACGGCGTTTATTCTCAGAGTCCCGGTCGAGCATTTCAGTTTTGAAGGATTCAAAAAAAACACAAATTTTTTCACCTTCCTCTTTCATTTTCTTTTTGAGAATTTTATCCATATCGATTGAATTTTGCATCTGAGGATGTGTGAGAGCAGAGTGTTGTGATGAGAGCGATGGAATGTTATGATATGACAAATTATCCATTAGCTGAACTGAAGGTTTGATGAGTAGAGTTCGAGTAAGAGCTCCTCGATAGTCCTTGATGAGACGGCATTTTGAATCATTGGAACAATGAGCTTCTCCAAAATGAATACATTTCGGTACACCTGAGCAGATATGATCGTTGACATCAGAATATTTTTCCCCACAAGTTTTGCATCTCGCTTGATCTTGTTGCGGACAGTTCTTTTGAAAATGGGCAATACCCATACATCGAGAACAAGGTGATTGGTTCCTTTTATATGAACTAATGTCTCTGAACATCTCGTTTTATTCCTTTATACTTGATGGAAACTTAGAGCTAGAAGGAAGTAAAGTATTCGATCACTTAGCTATATATAAAGAAGTGTTCACTGGACTCAATTCTCATGAAGAAAACGATAAGTAACTTTTTAGCTCGATTCCGTCAGTTCTAAAAACTGACGGTTGTCACACATCTAATTATGATTGCAAACGAAAAATAGACAGATACATAATGTCATCTAATTTGTTAATCAATAGTTTCCTAATTATTCAGTCAGAAGTATTATTCACCCAGTTTCACTTAGGAAGCGATTCTATGTAAAGAAAATTTTTGTCGGGAAACATTTAACAATAAAAATTGTAACTTGATGAATGTATTTAATCATTGTTATTAAAACTGAAAAAAACATTCTGTTTTGACAGATGCAAAAGATAAATCATATATCAGATAGTGTTGTTTCCTTTGTTATACAGCGACAATTGTCTGCGTATCCTTCCGTTCTCTAAGAGTTGAATAGATGAGAAGATGATAAAATAAAAGGTCAACGAACACATCATCATATTGGTTGAATATAAACTTTCTCGTCGATAAATGAAGATATATTTTCCTCATGCATAGCAAACTGAAAAATGAAATATGTTACATTGGACATTTTATGCTACTGAGTTGACGTTTATTTCTTCTTTTAGTATTTAAAATATAAGAGATTCCACTGGTTCTTTTTTTGAATACAAATAGTTTTTTATTCATTGAAATATTTTTCATTTATTTTATTTTCATGTTGCTCAAAATATGCTTTTAAGAAGTAAAAGTGTTTTGTTACAATGAAGATGAAATTATTTTCAAATTAATAATTATAGTGATAAGTTATTTCTTTTTCTTAAACAATGATAATCATGGAGTTTTATAGAAATTATTTTCTACTTCTCTTTTCGTTGTGCTATTCAGGGAGAATTGTTTTCCTTTTTAAAATTGTTCTTCAAAGGAAAAATATTCAAAAAACGTTTTTTCTCTTATTAGTATTCCTCATTTTAGAATTATCGTTCATAATGAATAGTAGGTTTCTCTTTTTCATCTTATTTTGTAAGTTGAAAGGAAAAAATCGTTCCATTAGTGTGGTTCGTGAGAATGGTTATTTAATGGAAATAATAATCTTATCTGACACATCGTTAAACTTTATTTCTAGAAGGAAATTGTTATTCTAAAATCTGATTCGCTTTGTTTGAATCTCTGATTGATACTATCGATTAGATTAAAATGAAAAGAATATTTTATTTTGTAGATAAATGATAAATAAATTGGAAATATTTCCAAATGAGATATTTTTAAATATATTTTCTTATTTATTCTGGGATGAATTGTTAATATCATTCTGGTCATTAAATAAACGTATTAATTCTCTTATTTGTTCAATATTTCGAGTAAACGGAATTCTTTTAAATAAGCCAGGTTTATCTTATAAAAATTTTTCTAAAATATTATTACGAATAATATTTAATTCATCATCTCTTTTATCTTCTATTAAATGTATTCATGTTGATGGAATGAATTCAATTTCTTTGGATTTAATTTATGAAAAGATTTTTTGTAATGATAATAAACCAACTCTTTGTTTCCCAAATCTTAAGTCACTTTATATTAGTCAATGCTTATTATCTGAACCATTAACTCATATATTATGTTCACTTATTCAATACCAATTAAATGAACTTACTATATCATTTCATGAAGATATCTACGAAATATTTGATTATGGACGAGGACTCTCAGCAATTGCTTCTGATCAAGGTAATTAATTAGATGTTTTTGCAATCAATATTAGAAGTCAAAGTTTATCTAGTCTAGAGATACAACTGTAAGGATAAGTTAACAATTATCAGAAGCATTTTATCTAGTATGAAGACCAGAGACAACATTGGATCTCTTACGAAAGTATATGTTCATCCTATTCAAGTTGGGAATCACAAACAAACTTTTTAATTTTTCCATGCAATTCAGCCAAAATTTCAGAGCATGTTAGTCTTGGCTAGAATAGATTATGGTTAAAATATCTTCCCAAATATGCAAGACACTCATTAATTCATTGGTCAAAAATTTTCTTTACGCGGACAACCTTTTCAAAATGAGGATACGAGCTAAGCATGTCGAAGTGGTTTTTAAAATGTAGAATACGCTTAGGGCTAGGTCGTAACAGAGCCCGATTTTTTAATTTGCTTTTGTTTGATTTTTAAAAAGACTCTCAAATTCGTGACCAAAAATCGATAATAAAAATCAAAGATCTAAGTTTTTTATTTCAGCAAAAAGGAAATGGAAAACTCAGGCTCTGTTACGATCTAGCCAGTAACTGTCTGCTGTGTAATAAAAAAAATGACCACTTTTATATTGAGTCGTTATTAAAAAAAGATTTGCTCGCGTAAACGATATACTCGAAAAGACTGATTTTGAGTAAAACCAAAAATAATATTTTTGATTAAGTGTCTATTCGAAAAAAGTCTTCTTATTCTATATGATATTTTCGCACTATTCGTCAAGCTTTATTAGATGATGTATAGGCGGATATATCACAATGTTCTTATACGTCGATGTCATTTCAACTCGCGCATGTTTTTAAAAAATTTTTGGTTAGAAATAAATCTCAAAATCGGGTTTTCTCGAAAGCAAATGGAAAGATAGTCTTTCCAAAACTGAAACATTTTTTAAAAAAAGCGAAAATTTCTCGAAAAATATGATAGTAGACCAAGTTTCTGTCAATAATTCCGCCAAAATCTGTCCGTTTTGCGAAAAGCTATATATATATATTCTGGAAGAAGAGACTTCAATTTTTCTTCGAAATATTGGCTTTTCTGAGGGAGGCCTTAAGATATTGATTATCAGATCTTTATTAAGTAAATAATCGTGTAAAACGTCTATCAATCAATTGTCTCATGGTGCGAGTCATGTTTTCTATAAAATCATCTAAACAAAGCAAAAATCGATCTTTACGTAGTACTGTCATTGTTGCATATCCAACCAATTATTCTATGATTTAGCCGATCAATGACAATTATTTTAGGAGGCATGTTCACAGGAATTTTTTTAGGGGAGGAAGGATTGACGGTTTGGGAGGGGGGGGAGCGTCTATCGTAGACACAAGTGTATTTCAAAGTTTCGGAAATTGTGAACCTGAACCCTCCCGCTGGCATCCCTAGTATTGATGAAAAATAGGTTTTAATCAATAATAACAATTGAAATTAATAAGAGAGAGAATTTACTTTTATTAGAATTCAGAAATATTGCCCAGTTTATTTTTTATTATATTGATAAATATTAGAATATGTTGAGAGGAAGATTTCAATTGATAGAAAAGAGTAACAAAAACAGCTTTAATAAATGTTGAATCTACTCTTCGTATATAAGAGAATTATGTATTTCTTGACGATCTTTTCATATTATTCTATTGATATAAAAAAGTGACATGTGCTTTTAAATTGTAATAGAATTGTTGTTATATTTTGACAGGAATTATAGAATTTTGATCAATGCAACTGAGAAATAAGATTTATTTTATTCGTTTTCTCAATTAGTAGTTATACTAACAGAAGAAATGATACTTGCAATTTTGATCTAATTTTTTGAGTGTAAATAAAAATAAAAATGTTAAAAGTGAATATAATCTATTTCAGTAGAATTTATTTTAAATATAAATTGATTTTATTTTTGTTATTATTAAATAGAAAAAGTCCAAAGAATGTTTAAACAATTGTTATGTAAAATATTTTCTGATCAATGTCAATTAACTTCTCTTAAACTCGATATTACGAAATCATTTAATTCAATTCATCAATGCTTAAATTTGCAGTCTCATCTTGAACCAAACACAATTTCTAAATCTTGTTGTTTAACTCTACGTCGTTTGTGTATTCATATCGATCATAAATGTTTTCTTGAACATCTCATTGAACATACTCCCAATCTTGAACAATTATCAGTTCATTTTCGAAATTTCTTGTTCAACAATGATCACCCCGATTCAGACACTCAAGCACTAATAATATCAAATGGAAATTGGTTTAATAAAGTAAGACCTTAATATAGTCGGAAAATCTATAGAATAACTCTTATTAAATCTTACCTAACCATGTAAATGTTATTGGTGAAGACAACTGACTCAGATTAGTAGAGGAATATTTGTCATATTTAAAAGTAAAATGATGAATATCTAACTACATAAAATCCATTGAAAATAATTTAATCTAATAAGAAAGTATGATTTAGATGAAGAGAATGAAATACATTATTTTCAATTGATTTTGAAATCCTGATTAATTATTTTTGTTTGATAGATATCAAAATTGGAATGTTTCAAATTGAAGAGCTATGTGAGAAATGATTTAGAATTTGCTTATTTAAAATGTCTTCTTAATAATGTTAATCATGTTAAAAAACTTGAAATTCATTTATATAGTGAAGATATAGGGAGATCTTTTATTGATGCAAATTTTATTCGAGAATATTGTTTACCTGATCATATAATTAATTTAAAAGATTTTCGTTTTTATATGTGTGCAAAATGCCAATTATCATTAAATGATACTGAAAAAATAATAAATTCATTTAAAATCAATTCTTTTTTTATCGATCATCAATGGACAAATGTTAAATGTTTTTATGATGAAAATATTTCATATCAACATATATTTTCTTCTAATTTTGATAAATATCAATACTTTGATCATTTACTGTAAAATATTTTATTTATGGAAGTGTTTTATTTATTTTTTTATTTAGGAATTATCGTTATATCTTAAATGATTTGTTAGATCCTCAACATATTAAGATCAATTTTGATCCATCTCTTTACTCATTTTTTGAACAGTTCAACGAATTATGTCCTAATGCTTTTTGTATCACCATTGATACAGGTAAACATTTGTTTTTCATAGTTTTATCAATGATTTCTATAAAAATTAATGATCAATAGAAAAATAAACTCTTGGTAAAATATTCATAGAGGAACATAGTAGAGGCTTTAGTGTTAAAGTATCGAAGTATTTTTAAGAATTGTTCAAATGAGATGTTTCTCGCAAGTGACTAATTGTAAACTCTTTTTCATTCTAAACATGCTTTTGTTAGAATATCTAACCACTCGGTAGAGTCACAAATTTTTCATTTTTTTTTCATAAGACTTCACTTTCATTGATTTAGTTAAAGGAGCTAAATGTAAGAAATACAAATATTCTTTCGTTCTATCTATTTTCATCTAGTGGTATTGGGAAAACACTGCAGATTTCACTCTTAACATTTCAACAAACTACATTACACTTCTAATCTTCTATAGAAATATATCAGATTGTATAACTATTAATATGATGTCTCTGACTATCGATTATGAGCAGAGACATAACTCAGCACTGAAAGTATAACATGGACGAATGTCAAAATTAAGAGTCCTGTATGGTCGAATTTCAAAAGCAGGAGAGGTTGTAGTATAGACAAATTCTAAAAGCACGGGAGGGGGAGATGTTGTGCCCCACACGTCCCCATCCTTCCTCATTTATGCTCCTGAGTATGAGATCATATTTCAATAAAATTCGATTAAATAATTTTTGTATTTGAGTCTATGCTTGAGTTCCACCAATTTGAAGAGTATCTGGTCGAATTGCATGATTCTAATAATCATCTTGAAACAACATTTATATTTTTCATGTCTGATTATTTGATCAAAAGGATTAAAATGAAATGGTAATTTCAACTTTGGCCGAAAGTAAAAATGTCAAAATGTCGACAAGAAAAACGATGATGAAGATGAATGTGTATGAGTGAGGGCAACAGAGATTCCTACTTTCATACTATGTCGTTTTCGACATTTTCACTTTCGGCGTTTTTACTTCTGACGAAAGCTTGGAGAATCAAATGAAGTTTCATTGATACTCGAAAATTCTATATGTACTGTACCAAAAGATAAAAACTGTGTTAAGTTCCAATTGATTTTCTTCTAATCCAACTGGTATATTAATTTTAGTGAACGTGATAGAAAAAAAGTTAAAGTGATATTTAATTATTTATTTGTAGAATGTTCTGATGAGAGATCAGAGATGTTGGCAACGTTATTCACAGTAGGACAACGAAATTTAAATAATATTCAATTTGTAAATATTACAAAACTTCAATTTGGATCTTGTCATCGTCGTTCAACTCGTATGTAAAGATTAAGTGTTTTCAAAATCGATAAGTAAATCTTTTCTATCTAATGATTACCTTAATTAACGGGTGATGTAAAAGTTTTTGCACAAATGTTGCTCCATTTTTCATCTACTAAAAGACGTTTTGGAAAAATGAAAAATATCTATTCATAATCTGCATCGAAAGAGCTTTCTAACTGTGTGTTCAAAATTTTTGTTTTATCGTGTCTTGCCTCTGAGTACCAATCACATCTTTGGATGGCAGTAAAAAGTAGCTTGTGAAGATCAGATAATGGGCCTGTTCCTAAGCATATGCCAATCCATGTTTTTTTACCAAAGAATCTTTTAGAAAAAATAAAAATAGCTTTTCATGTTCTACATTTAAAGAGCTCTCTCACTACGCACTAAAAACTATTTAATCGACCCTGACTTCCGAGTAGTGGCAGAATCTTTAAAACATACAAAAATTTGATCTGAACAGGGAAAAGAGCTTTTCCTTTCGGATAAGCGTAGAACTACTAAGTTGTTACTAGAACTATTTTGGACTATGGACGCTTGTAGAGCAGACAATTCTCTAGAAAACGACGTTTTGAAACAGGTTATATCACAAATGAATTCAAATTTATCGTCATTTCTCTGAACACTATGTTTATTTCGCTGGAAACACTATTTCTCAAAACAAAACCTAGACTTTGAATAATTTCAACATTTGCTCGGGTGGTGCTACAAAAAAATAATCAACAACACTGTTCTATAATCTGTTAGGCAAGTCACAGTTTGATCTTTCAATAAAAGTTGTTTTCGTCAAAGTTTGAAAAGATGTACGAACTGTTTTCTTCTTTACAAACTACCGTTTAATGCCATTCAAAGATGAGCTTGTTATTCAAAGACAAAGCAGGATAATAAAATTTTGAACACACAGTTAGAAAGCTCTTTCGACGTAGATTATGAATAGATATTTTCCATTTTTCCGACACGTCTTTTAGTAGATGAAAAATGGAGAGACATTTGTGCAAAAACTTTTGCATCATCTGTTATATGAACGCTATATTTTTGGATCGTTGAAATTTATAATAGAAAACAAATATAGCGTTTCATATAAAACAAAAAATCTAAATGTCTTCTTCACAAAGTCTAACGGAGTATTGTTTTGAAAAGAAACTAGTTTGACCTGATAAGATTTAAATAATTATTTTGAATCTTCAAATACATTTAAATCATTATTTACAGTTTATGAATATATCTTTTAGACAGTAGGTCAATTAATATCAAATAGTTCTTAATCAAACAATCTGAAAAATTAAAATGTAAAAATATTTAAATTTTTATATTGTAAACGAGTGACATGTCCTTAACTTTTACATTTATTCTGCATCTTCAATGTATGCTCTTGATCAAAAAAGTTCGAAAATGTTCTAATGAGTATTCAAAAACAAACATTTCAGTGCATATTTAGAGGTGTAAGACGATCAACTTGGTCGTCCCTGCCGCCACCAATTGCCGTCAAATTTTAAAGAAATATCAGTCTCATCAGCCAGATTGCTGTAAATAGTTGCTGAAAATTTCTGGCATCGTCATCTCCGTCCGGCATGAAATAAAATCAACATTTGGTTTTTAAAAATTTTCAACACTACCCATCAGTTTTTGAGAATGTTTTAATCTAGTTTCCTATCAGTAAACTCTCCATCCTTATTTTTTCTATTTTTCATTTCGAAATTTTTCGGAATTAGCAAATTTTTAAAGAGTCATCAAATACTTTCAACCGACGCCGATCAATGAGTCGACTTACATTTCTACTGATACTTTCATCTTTGACGGCATCACAGATTGTTTAAGAGTGCAAGAAAGACAATTTTATTTTTTGTAGAATGCAATTGCATTTCACTACAGTCTTCGTAGTAGACTTTGATATCATAGATATATTAGTTCCAAACTGTATGAACAGAAAGAAGATGGTGTTGTTAACGTGTCAATCACCATTTATGGAAGAACAAAACTTCAGAGGATAAATAAAGTAGCGAATATATGATGACATTATTTGTTCTCTACTTTAGCACTCTATTCCTGGTATATTTTACTAAAACATACTATTGTTAAACTAGCGCAAAAAACAAAATCTTCTTCAAACAAAAATTCAAGTACGAGTGAAGTACGACTAGAGATTATGAGTTATTGTTACGTTACTAAGCGATTTGTGAGGAAACAGTTTAGATATGTATCAGCCTAATTCGACTGAATACCTCGGTTGGATCGGGACTGATGCATACATAAGACAGTTCCCAATATTATTCAGTAACTAGTAACAACAAAAGTTATTATTTATTTGCAAAAGTAATGATAAAACCTCTCGATTGCGACGGTGAGAATTTGATGTTATCAATGATTGACTTTTAACCATTTGGTAGAAATGTGACAATAATAAGAGCAAAGTGCGCGACACAACTTTGAGAGATTTTTTTTGTAGCAAAAACAGTTTTTATATCGAAAAAAGGTCATAGTGAAAAAGTTCCGTATCTCTTTTTTGTTTTTCATCGGCACAGCCCTGTAGTTTAATGTCTTTTCCAGGATCAGTTAATCTGTAATTAGCAACTTTTTTTTTTATCACTGTTAGCTAATAAATAATTCTTCAATAACGATTAGCGATCATTCAAAGCACGATTGAAGTAAAAATGAAATTAAGCTTACTTTACCATTATGAAACAATTAATCGTTGTTCATATTGGAAACTTTATTCCTTTATTATTAATAAAATTTTAAAAAAATTAATTTTTTTAGTTCGTTTTTCTAAATTTACTGGCCAAGATAAAGTTCGTGCAAAAATATTTGCTCATCTAATTTCAATGCCTGTTCAACTAAAGTATCTTTCTCTTGCAAAATTTCAATGGCTTTTATATGTTATTGAAAATGTAAGTATGAAAGTTATTTTTTGAGGAATATAAGTCTATTTATGGCATTATTGAAAGAACTTAATCAAATTTGATTTTACCTTTAAATAGATTTATTAAACTCTAGGTTACTAATCAGTTCAACTTTTTAATATATATCAGAAATCGACGGGGGCAACTAAAAGGTCATGCCTCCATCGCTCCGCCCACGTCTCGCCTTTTGAGTGCTTGCACTGCCACCGCTCCATCTGATACAAAATATACTTTGAAAGCGAATTTTTTTGAACATTCTAGTTAAATAAAAACGGTTGTGATCGTGCATGCATCAAACAGCTCAGATTGCCATTGTCTCGATGAAACCAAATTTTATAAGTATCGAACCATGTGACCGAAAAATACTTTCACAGTTCCCATGTAAAAAAAAAGACAAGTAATCTGATTATAATCGATTTTTTTTAGATTAAAAATCGATTATAATGGCACGATTTTCATCAGATTTTCACCAGATCGTCATCCGAATTTTGATTTTTGATCAGTTTTTGATCAATTTTAATCGGTTATTTTATTTTTAATCGATTATAATCAATTATTTTTAATTTTTAATTGATTATAATTGATTATTTGTGTTTTAATCGATTATAATGGATTATTTTATTTTTAATCCATTTTAATCACGATAGTGGAAGAATGAGAAAGTATCAGTTGGTATCATCTCATGAAGTGTGACATGTGTATCAGACGTTGGTCTTACATTGTACCTACCATTTGTCGATGCGAGGAATTAAAAAAAAACAAAAATAAACTACGATTTCTAGGTTAAAACTCGAGAAAAACGCATTTTTTAGTTATCAGGATTAAAATTGTTTAATAATCAAAAATCTGATGAAAATCGTGCCATTATAATCGATTTTTAATCCGAAAAAAATCGATTATGATCAGATTTTTTTGTCGTTTTTTAACATAGGTTGTACATCTGAAGCAGAAGGATTTTATTACAATATGTCAATAGGAAAAGTTGAATATCACAGTTCAGTCAGGCAATGGAACAAATACAAAATCCAATCTCATTAGTTTGGATTTCAGTTATTTTTTAGCCTTTTCTCCAACTTTGCGCTCTACTATACAATGTATTAGATCATTCTTCGTTTGTCTGTCAAGACTAAACCTTCTTCTATGTTTATAGCGCATCATATTATCAAAGTAGATGATCCTGCGTAAGACAAAATCAAAAAATCTATTCCATACTCCTGAGTTTGTGTGCATACCTAGTTTTAAACAGTTATACTACGATGGATACGGTGGTTTACACTATCTAGCATGACCATCGCATATCTTTGTGTCGTGTATGAAGATATACAATGACTCATACAGACAAATTGCTCGCTTAGTCTCCTCGTACACAAAGATCGTGTACGATTTCAGTTTTACTTTATATTTCTTCATCTTTGATCCTGTTGCTCAATATATTGTCACGAAAAAATCCAATCGTAATACTGAGCTATATGAACTGTCAAAATACGACCAAATATCACGCAACAAAGTTGCTTACGAGCATATACAGACCTCATCTTCTTCGTCGTGGATATACATCACAATCACTATTTCATTCTAAAACAGATAACTCTTTTTTACAGATTCAATTATATTCTCAGAAGAAAAGATAATATCGCCAGAAGGAGGAAAAACCAACAAATCTCACGGTATCCGTCACCGACCCGTTGTTTAAATTTTTTGCACCGCTTCACGACGGGACGATGTGACACTGCGACTCGTCGGTCTCTGATATATATGTTTGTTAAAAAGAATAAAAAGAATAAATAAATTTAATTGATAAAAATATAATTGATTGACAAATGAATTTTATATGATTAAATCAAATTGTTATCTCAAATTATTTTTAGGCTTTTGATGACTTGAGAGAAAATGCACTAAGTACTGTTCGACATGCTGAATTTGGTATTCCAACTTGTAATTTTGGTTATAATGAATCAGTTCAAATTGGTAAACATCTTGTACCTTTTCTTAATATGTATATGCCTCATTTACAAACATTACGTCTTTGGAGACCAGATGATTTTCCTTGGACATCGAGTAAGTTTATTTTTAAACAAAACATAATTAGTCATAATTATCAATTAGAAAAAGTTTCTGAATATTATTTAATAGAACTTTATTAGTTAACTTATTTTTTTAAAGTATTCTAAAATTCAACAGATTGAAAAAGGCAGCATTTTGTTAGATTTATGGAAACAAGCCTTTGTCGTTTTAATGTCAATTATAATAATTTCTATTAAATCTAAGTTAACACATGTTTGATAAAAAGTTATCAGTGCAGTTGATAATCCATTGAAATAGAAAACTCATTTGTCCTTCTCGTCTTTTGCACAATAATACAGTGGAAGCCAATTGAAATTTCCCCTTTTGTTTTTGTTACTATTTGTTTTTTAATCTACTATATATAGCGAGAAAGCTCGGAACGCACTGCATCTTTTGGTATATTTACATTAAACATCAAATACAGTTTAAAGTGTAAAAGCTGTAGTAGAAAAAAGTAACCTTTTTTTTACTGCAGAATTTCCATAATGTTGTAACATTTTTTATTTTGTATGTATCTCGGCTTAAATAAATGATAAAATCTTGAATTTATTTCCAAACGATGCGCCATGAAACACTCTGCAAAAACTGTATAATTGAATTCCTTTCTCTAACTGTTTTTCTTATGCTCAAAACGACCATCTACATGACAATGTCACTTCCCGTCATATTGAAAATCTTTGGAAGACTTTTTTGTTTTGCATATATTTTGACTTGAGAAAATGATAGAATATTGAATTTTGTTTTAAAAGATGTGCCGTCGAAAGCTCCACAAAAGCTATATGCACCAATTCCTATAGTAAATCAGAAAAGTTTTCCAAAGATTTTCAATATGATGAGAAGTGACATTTTCATTTAGGTTGTTCGTTTTGAGTATAAGAAAAACCGTTAAAACAGGTAGAAAAGAATTCAATCATGCAGTTTTTGTAGAGCTTTTCATAACGCATCTTTTGAAAAAGAATTCAAGATTTTATCATTTATGTAAGCCGAAATAAATAGAAAATAAAAAATGTTACAACATTATGGGAACCTAATATTGTAGTGGGAAAAAATACCGCTTTTTTTCTAATACATTTTTTACACTTGAAACTACGTTTGATGTCTAACATAAATATATCAAAAGATGCAGCGCGTTCTGGACTTTCTCACTATATATAGTAGATTAAAAAATAAAAGAAGTATAGTAACAAAAACAAAAGGGGAAATTTCAATTGGCTTCCACTGTAGATTAAATATGCGATCTCAAATACAAATATCTCTCATAAAAATAACTTCATCTCCAAATTATTATAGAAGCGTTCTATTTTATTTATACTGCTATTTATCTTCTGTTGTTTCCCGTTAAGTTACCAACTGCTCGTATTGACAGTAGAAGAGTGTGAGGAGTAGATATGCATCGATTGATCTTAAATTTTAGTAGCTAAAATGGAAAGAAACTATTGCCCCTTGGTATGTACTTGTTAATCGTTTGTATTTGCTTCCAGCTATTAGAGCTAAGAGGGAAGACTGAAAAATTTCAGCTACCATCACACTGTCTATGTTTGGTTGACAATACAAATAGATTCAATAATAATATAAATTTAACGTGTCAAAAATAAAATAAAAATTTTATTTTATTTCTGGATTGTTTTAATTTATTAGCAAAATAATTGAAATTTTAATGAAAGAACTATGAAAATACATACAATGACTTTTATAAACATTTATTAAATATAAAATGTTTTATTTTTTGGATGATTTTATAACAAAGCTGAACAGAATCTTTTCTAATCATATTTACTTAAATAAAAGAAAAGAAAAACATTGAGAATTGAAAAGATTTATTCTATTTTTCTCTTATTTCTTTAAGTCCGACCAAACATTGAATCTAAACAATTTCATGGGACTTTCATCAGACGATGGAGTCAATATTTAGAGGGAGTCCAATCTATCAGTATGTAATTCAAATATATCTATAGAAGAAAAAATAAATTCTTGTTATTTAGATGAACATGCAACTATTTTTGAACAAGATCTTTCTCAATTAGTTGAACAATTAAAACAATTTGTCTTTCTCGATATTTATGGCAATATTTCTTCTAAAAAAGTCAAACCTTATCGTTTAATGGTCCAAACTCGCTTTCCAAATAGTCGATTTGATGTTCACATATCAAGGTTTCGTCTTTGGATGTAATTATTATTTCTATTTTATATTATGACATCACTATATGTTAAACAAAACTGTCATATTTCTCTTTTTTTTAAATTCTTAATACATCAACATTTATTTGTGCTATTTCGTGGGAACGTATATCCTCCTGGCCAAAATAAGTGATACACCTTATTTTTTTGATTGTTTCTCTCTACCATTATCGTTTCGTCTCATTCTTATACCACAGATACATCTTTGATTACTCAATCTATCTTGAAAGTTTCAGCCCTATAGACTGAAAATTAATGGAGAAAATTACCAAAATATCTCATGCACTCTAGTATGGTTGTAACAGAAATTCGTTATCGTACTTTTTTCAAGGATATTTTTAGAGAGGATTTCTGTTCTTTAGTCATCCGCTGCTACGTAATGGAGATGTGATTAAAATCTATCTATATATATAATGTTCAGTGTCTGTCTGTCTGTTTCTCTGTGCCGGGTCAAAGGTCAAAGGTTAAGGATTCTAGAATTTTCACCATCAGGAATGCCACCTCATAAGCTTAAATTAAAGATTGGTGCAATTGTAATGCTTCTCCGCAACCTCGATGTAAAGCAAAGTTTATGTAATGGAATTCGACTCATCGTACGACGTTTACAAAATCATACGATTGATTGTGAAATCGCAACAGGATCAAACAAAGGAAGCCGAATTATAACACCCAGAATTACAATGACACCATCTGATACATTTTTACCATTCAAATTACGCAGACATCAGTTCCCTATTCGACTTTCATTTGTTATGACAATCAACAAATCACAAGGACAAACATTTGAACGATTAGGACTACTTCTACCACAACCAGTATTCAGTCACGGACAACTATACGTTGCTTTTTCAAGAGTTCACTCCCTTACATTTATCAAGGTACAACTCATTAAAGAAAAGAACAGTGAAAAAAATAAAACTAGAAACATTGTTTTCAAAGAAACTTTGTAAATTAGTTACTTTAAAATAGAATGAACATGAAATCAATAAATTGTTCTAATAGAACAGAAATAAAAATTTCCATGGTATCCCTGATAATCCTTTATCTTCACGAAAAACTTTCTTTCGTTGTTAAAAAAAAAGCTACCGTGCAGTATGCACGGGTTTTCGCTAGTAATAATATAATTGACGGTGTCCATGTATGAAATGGCCGGCTTCTGGTTTGAATTCTTCGGAAAATCAATGGTTGCTCCGGAGAAAGTCGAAATCTGTCAGACGCGGCTTTTAGCTATTGTAAAATAGGTCCAGATAGGATAATTCGCTGTGCTGAGTTCAATGGTGATCTCAGATTTCAGTTTCAAAGAGATCTGAACTAACTAACTATATTATATACTTGAAATCTTCGCTCGTACAACAACAGGGACTGAGCATTATGACTATATTTTCTAAAAATAATGCTTTTCTTATATATCGAGAATATAATTTTAATTGTAATATATAATATATGGATATTTTGATTTTCTAACCAAATGTAAGTAGGTACATTTTTCGATATATACAGTTGAAATGATGAGTATAACGATGATTATTGACTGATCTAAACCACGAAATATTTATCTTTAAAAACCTATTGTTGAATTTTAAAAATACAAGAAATATCTTTATTTATAAAATTAATTTCCATTAGACTTTAAATTAAAAGTGCATTATTTAATAGAGATTATTTGTTATTAATTAATCCATTAAAATACTTTATAAAGGTTTATTTTCACGATGGATGTGATCTTTCTGAAGAATTTATTCTATCAATATACAATTTAGAATATTTTCTTAGGTCAAAAAAAAGACAAATTGAATAAAAACTGTTATTATTCATATGAATATTTATCTGTTTTTGAATAAGATCTTTGACAATCAGATGATTACCTAAAACAATCAGATTATATCGATACTTAAAATAAAATTTAGATGAAGATGTTAAATCTTATCGTTTAATAATTTTAAACTCACTCCTCAAGGAGCTGAACTAATGTTGGACAATGAGACTTTTGTATGTGAATGTAATTGATTATTTATTATTTATAACAATAAATGTATGTTAGAAATAATTATTATGCTTGACAAATAAGTTTTTTGTCATGAATTATCTATTTTTATTTTTCAATAAACAATGAAATACTTGCAAAGAATAATCAAATGATCATATTTTCATGTCATTTTTTTATCTCTTGGAGAATTCATCACAAACAAGACTAGAGTGCATAGAAAAATAAATAAATATTTCATCTCCAAACAGTCCATCGAGGATGATTAGATATTTGTTTTATACGAAATAGTATCAGATTAAAATACATTTAGAGAAAGATGAACAATAACCAATTTAATTTCTCTTTCTATTTGACAGATTTTAATAAATATTTGAAGGACTTGAAAGTGAATATTTAGAGAGATATCGAATTTATTGTTAGAAATTTTCATATTCATTAAATTTATATTTTATAAGAATCTTAGAATAGACTTATATTCGATGGATATATTGTTATGATACAATGTATATCAGAAAATCTTGATGACATCTCTCATAATCTTTGAGAAGAAGTGCTTCAAAGTACGTCCAAATTTCTCTTATTGTATCTCAAAGCTTCTTTTATATTGTATTGAACAAAATCAAAGACAACTTGTTTTATATCTGTTATATTTAAATGATTTCTTAACATAAAAAATAATTTATTTTATTGAAATATTCAAAATAAAAAATAGATAAGCAAAACATTTTTCAAAATAATCTTTACATATATATTAAGTAAAAAATATCTACCATTATTGTAAATCTATGATGAATAAACGTTGTATATTGTTCATCAATTTAACGATCAATAAGATAAAAAACATACTGACATCATTTTCAACTATATAAAAGATCTTGTTATAATTACAATTATAGGCAAAAAAATCTATACAGTGTTTTTAATAGTAAGTACCCTAAGCAAAAGCAAAGTACCCGAGGTACTTACGATTTTGAAAAAGTACTTTGATTGTTGCTGGAAAAACATTGAAAAACATGGAAAAAACATAGGTAAACTATGGATTTGTACTTTGTTTTGAATTCCTATTAAAAACGCTGGTCCCATACCAACTAATTCATATAGATACAGTTCATTCATTAAAATATATATCAAAATAATAATACTTTTAATTTTATATCGAAAGACTTTTTTAGTAATGAAATCAATACAAATAATAATGAAAAGATTTTTTTATCATTTTTTGTTTGAAAAATAATTATCTCACTTATTTATATATAATTTATCTTTTTATTATTATTCTTTTATTAAATAAAATATAAAAAGAGACCATCATTGAAAGAATTCAACAAATACACAGTGAAGCGTGCCATTATATTTTCTTTTCTTTTCATTTTTATCAAAACAATGTAACATATGACATCAACTGTTATATGACACATACTATCTTATATAGAAGAACAAAGGATGAAAACAGATTATCTCTTTCTTTATTAAAATAAACCAATACCTTCCAGAGAACGTCACAGGACCTGCGTCCTGCAGGTCCTGCATCGTCCAGCCTGCAGGACGCAGGTCCTGTCCTGCATTTTTGGAATTTTGTCCTGCAATTTGCAGGGCAATGCAGGAGCAGGGCATCCTTTTTTTTATATGAAGGACCTGCAGGATGATTTATTATTCCTGCAGGACGGCATTAAAAACAAAGAACAGAAATAAATCAGCTGTACAAAGATTTTGAGATTCATAGTGATTTCTATAAAGTGATTAGTTATTGATTGTAGAGCGATGAACAGTTATAACATGAAAAACCTAACATAATCAACACTTAGACATTATTTCTGCTTTTGTCATATATGTATTGTTCTGAATAGTAGTAGCAACTTTCTCAATTGTAGCGAAATCTATCGTATGATTTTCTTTATTTTTTTCTGATTGGTGAGCATTGGTCACAAAGGCACAAGAGATTCAAGTAACAACACTACAACAATACAAGCATTTATATTCGACATATTTCACTTAACAAGTCGAGTTGATTTTTATATATTTTCATATCTATTTGGATTAGATGATTTCAAGTAATGATCAAGTTTCAATGTCTTCACCTCAGTCAGAAGAATATCAACTTCAATCAACTATAACTATTTCACCTGCAGTGTCACTTGAGTCAACGATTGATGAATCAATCTTCATCGACTCGATTGATAGTGTATCTCAACAAAAAATTACTGTCATCGCAAATCGTATACAAAACAAATTAATGACAGATAAACAGCAATATTGTGTGATTCCAAGTGAAAGTTCTGATAAATTCTGGAAAGTTTTCGGTTATCCAACATTCATCGTTAAACAGGAAGACATAAATACAACACGTCGTATTCCAAATTTTTTGTCATGTAAGAAATGTTTTAAAACTTTTAAGTATAGCAGAATTAGCGGTACAGCACAATTTAACAATCACATATGTGCGAAAAATGCATTGGTGTTTGATTCATCATCACCATCTCCTACTAGAACGAATTGTAAGCAGCAAATTCTACCAGTGGATTTACTGCTTCAAGAAAATTACCAACAACTGAAGTTGAAAAGGTGAACTCATATATGGTTAATTGGATAGTTGGTGATTTACGTCCATTTTCAATTGTGGAAGATGGTGGATTAAAAGGTCTTGCTCAATTATTGATCAATTTAGGTAAGGCGCCTTTATTAAGTTCTAGAATAGAAAGCTACATACTGTCATAGTCATTTTCTACTTTAGGCTCAAGTCATGGTTCTGTTGATATAAACGAAGTGTTTTGTCGAGAGAGAACGATCTCACGACGTGTTGTTGAAATTGCTGATATAGCTCGCAATGACGTTGCAACGATTTTGTCTGAACCGTTAATGATGAAATCAGTGACTATTTGTCCGGATATGTGGACAGACAAGTTTAGAAATGTTCTTTATTTGGGAGCAACAGCTATTTTTGTTGATTCTGATTATTCATATCATCAACTGGAACTTTTTTGTCGACCTTATACTCAAGCTGATAA